GTGGGTGGTGGCTGACGGCCCCGTGGGCCTACGGGGTGAGTGCGCCTTGGCGTACGCGGCACAAAGTGCCGGTGCGGAGGGGGCTCCTGCGGCAATAGGAGGCGCAGCTTGAGGCTAAAGAAACTGTTACACGCAGGGCACGAACAGATGGCCACGGCTCATACTCTGTCAGGTGTAGCAGTGGCTGCTAAAATCCTGGTACTTGACAGGAGCATGAAACAACTAGCTAAAGACAAAATGAGAAGCTTAGGCTGCATATAAGGAAAAAAATTCCCATCGTGAGAACAGCCAGGCCTCCAAATAGGCTGCCCAGGGAGGCTGTGCAGGAGCCTCTCCATCCTTAAAGGATTTCAAGGACTAAGCCCGGGGCAATTTGGTCTGATCTCATAGTAAACTTTGTTTGAAGGAGGAGGTTGAGCTAGGTGACTTTGTAGCATCCATTCAAACCTGAGTTACCCAGTGGTCTTACAAATACTGTTTTTTGTGAATGTTGAAGCTAAAAACATTGCTTGAGTTGACCCAGCAATTTGGAAGCGCTGTCATTCTGAATAGGCCTACAAACTTTGATTTTTCTGAAATGTCTGAAAATGCTATCGGTCAAGTTTTTAGGGAGCGAACTGTTCTGAATACAACTTGGGCTAAGAACTGTAGAATGATATGCAAGTGAACTCTTACCTCTTACAGCTTACGTATTGGTATTGCTTGCTTCACGGTAGTAAGAATGCTAAAAATTAATTTGAAGGTGAAGAAAATATTTTGACAGTTACACTTAGTTAAAATGTGAAAATGTTTGCCTCTTCACAATGAGCAGTGATAACAGCTGTTTTAACAATGGACTAGTAAATAGTTGTAATGTCTTTTAAATTCTGCATTAGGAAGGAGATTAAAGCTGTAATTTTTCCTTAGTTGGATATTTTTTAAATTGGGAGTGCATGAAGAGGTAATTACTACTTGGGGGGGAAAAAAAAGATGGTTTGATTTCTCGGTTTTACGTTTTCAAAATTATATTTAAATTTGAGGCATTTTTAAGAAAACTTTAGCAAATGCATGATCTGTGTCCCCCACCCCATTTGGGGGGGTGTGCGTGTGTGAAATTGTGAGATTCATAAGTATCCAAATTTGTATCTCTTAACAGGAGTTGTCCCTCTGGCTACCTATATGCGCATCTACAAGAAGGGTGATATAGTTGATATCAAGGTACTTTCTACAGTGCTACGTAATTAAAAGCTAAAGCAGCATAATCCTTTACAGTCTTCAGTTTCTTGAGGTAGTCTTTTTGTTACTCGGGTCATGTGTTGACACAAGTACCCGCTGCTCACTTTTGAAGCAGTAATGGACTGACAGT